GCCTTAGGAAGGTCAAGGAGAAGTCATCACTTGAGCCCCGGGCTTTGTTTATAGTCCAAGTCTATATGCATTCTAGAACGTGCAAGCTGTTAACTACCATAATAACTAGATTTATAGATTATAATGCATATTATATAAAAGGGGCAAATATGCCCTCTGTTTTTCGCATTCTACTACATTGTGGTCTGTGGAAGTTTGCAACTACCCACTCTCTCTATTAAATTTCAAAGCTATTTTGAAGGAAGCACTTTCACTCTAATTTTTAGAATATCTTAAAAGTTTATTTATTTCAAATGGCAGGCGTTTTGATAGTTATCATTAGCCCTTTGGTTGACTTCAGTCTTCACAGAGGGGAGAAACATCAAAGTGAGAAAAAGTGGAGAGAGGGAATAGAAGAGTGATTCTCAGATGTAAAAGAGACAGACACAATGATATAGAGTAGGGTAAGGTGAGTACTGTAAAGGGTTCGAATATGACATACAGTGGGGTCATGGTTATTAGAAATCAGAAGCCAACTGCCCGTTGATAGACTTTTTTGCGGTATGAGCATACGTTGCCAGGGTGCACCACGTCGATGTAAGTTAATCGCACACCCCGTATCTTAAAAGTTGAAAAGATAAAATGAACGTTCACACATTTGAAGGCTTCAGGAACGCAGAAGAAGATCTGCGTTGGCTATTGCTTATTTACACCAGAAGGAAGTTGTTTATGTTGACAGCTGTCATGGAGTAGTTAGTACCCCATCCGCTTTGCTCAATAATCATACACTAAATGGAGGTGTGTAATAACCTTATCTCCGCGTGAGGCAACGTATACTGATACGGCGAAAAAGTCTATAACCTGGCAGTTGACTTCTGACTTCTAACTACCATGAACCCACTTTATGTCATATTCGACCACTTCCACTTCACTGTACTCACCTTTTCTTTTTCCCACCCTTGTATCTGCCTTTTTTATATCTATGAATCTCTCTTCTATTCTCCCTCTCAACTTTTTCTCACTATTATGTCCCTCCTCTCTGTGAAGCCCGAAGTCCGATAAAGATCTAATGAAAACTATTAAAGCGCCTCCCATTTGATATAAATAAATCATACAGTAAGTCAATAACTGAGGTTATTCTATGAGTTTCTAATTTCCATTTTAGGATGTGACCCTGTTTCTGTTCCATTTCACATAAAATATTATCGCCTTTTCACGAACAGTCGGTTTTCTTATCATAATTTGTTTGTTTGTACAGGTTTTGCCTGAGTACAATTGTATGAGGTGTGCTTTTTATATAAACACTGGTCACATGAAGTACTTTCTGGGAAAAAGTTGAATTACTCAATTTGCATTTACCACATCCTATTCATACCTCTTCATGATAATTAAATATTTTAAGAATTTAAATAATATTCTATATATAACTTTTAAATATGTTATTCTTTTACTCAATTGGATTTTATTATAGGTATTGGTGACCAGAGTGAAATTACATCTTAATATTGCGGTTTTATTTCATCACTTGATTATGAGTTTAAGAACCAATTTTTTTCGTGAAAAAAACCTTTGTTTATATTGAAAGTTCAATTTATTGCTGGTCATACATCCTTGTTGAAGGTTTTTGCAGTTTTTGGTTCGACTTTTTGCAAAAAGAGTCTAAAACTATTAATTAAATCTTGATGGTCATTATTAGAATTCCATGGAGATTTCGAATTAGACTCGGATTCTGATTGAAATTGTTCCGATTGATTGCAGGATTTGTCCATTTCCGAGTCCACTTTGTTCAGGGAAGGATGGAGATGTTTAATCCTATCCTCATGATTGGAATCACCTGAGGACTTGAGAAGAGGGTGAGATGCTATACTTGGCTTAATTACTTTCTGTTCGACTTCCCCACTTTTGGGCATCCCTTCTTCAAATTTAGCCAGTAAGAGCTGGCAAATTTTGAGCAAATTCTTGCTGCCATTGGCATTGAGGCTTGACATTCGCGATGGTTCCGACTGGGAGTCTAATTTGGCTCTGTAATTGCAGAAGGATCGTGCCATTTCTGGGTCAAACCTCTCCAGATGTGACTGAAAACTGCTAAGTAAATCTTTCTGATTGGAGCAAGGTTGAACACATACTCTAGCATCTTGTCCAGGTTGAGCCTTCACTTCTGTTATTGGATTCACTGTGGGTTTTAATATCGATGTCAATTGCGGCTTTAGTATCGATTTTTGAATTCCACAGGATGTGGATTCGTTACTTTTCTCAATGCATTTGACCAAGTTAGGACTACATTTCTGTAGAAGTTGTTGGAGAGATTTCATACGATCCGAGTTCGTTAATTCTGTGGGGTTTCTCAAAGTAGCTTGCCCTGAAGTTGAAGCAGGAAGAGGATCTGATTCAATTTCTTGCCTTCTTTCCAGGCTCCGACAACGTTCGGATTTCAATTCAGAAGTGAGTGAAGAAGCCAACTTGGAATTACATTCCCTAACTCGATTCTTTTCCAGCTGTTGCATGGCTCGATGGAGGGGTTTCTTATCATCCTGCATTTTTTCAGCAATGAAGGCTTTCATCTTTGATTGCATATCAAAATCTAAATCATTCCATCGAACTGAAGAACGCCCTTCGGACTTCGATATACACCCGCCTTTCTGCTGTCCTTTGGTGCATGAATCCGAAGCAAGTTGGTTCACAGACTCAGATTTAAATTTCACATTAGAATTTGACTCCGCATTTGTTGTCGTCTTTATTCTGAGGTCATCTTTAAATTCAATCCTCTTTCCATGACAATTTGTTGGCCTAAGTGCATTATCCGAAGATTTGGAAATTTTGGCCTCTAGTGGATTTTGCTCTGAGGGTGATGTTGAAGTGGTGGGTGAAGTTGATGCTTTCATCATCGATGTGGACATTGAATCAGGTCTCATTTCAGTATTTGAATTTAATTTTGTTTCAGGCATTGTAGCTGGATGTGTCCTGGATGCAAAATCAATTTTAGAATTTACTGCTGGATTTACTGAAGTGTGCTTGGCCACAGCCTCCGAAACTGTGGAAGACTTTGTTCGGGGCTCTGGCTGGTCCGATACTACTTCTGGACATGAATTCAATTTCTCTTCCAATTTTTGCGTTTGGTTTGATCTGGATTCAGTAGATCTTGGTGAATCCTCTGTCACTGTTGCAAGGTTGGTCTCAGGTTTATTTCCAGTGTTTAATGTTTGCATTAATTTCTGAGCTAGTTTCGATTTCAGTGTCGCTATAATCGATTTTAATTCGTCAGGCATGGACGAACACTCTGAAGTTGGTAATGATTCAATTTCATTTTTCCTTTCATCATGTGTCTCTGTCACGAGAGATTTCGTAGATGTCTCTATTTTTGTAGCAGGTATGATCTTATGACTTACTCCTTGCTTCAAGTTGGTTTCCGAACTCGGTGCAGTTTCTTTAGTTGATGTTGAATCCACCTCCGGTTTCTCTTCAGATATAGGTTCCCGTTTCGGTGTTTGCGTTGATTTTGGTTCATTCTCAATTACCTGACTCGAATGGGACTCAAGTTTCTGCGTTTGGTTCAAATTCTCTTCAGCAGTAATTGTTTCACGTGTTTTCAAACAGTCAGATAGTTCTGGATCCACTCGCTGCAAGAAACAATGGAAACATTCCACCAATTTCTTATTATCAATACCTGAAACTTCTGAAAGATTAATCTTTGAATTGCTTGGCGGGTCCTGAATTGATTCCGACTTCTGTTCATCCCCTAACACCTTTGAAGTTTCAATACAATCTTCAGGGGGTGACTCTTGAGCACTCACCGTCTTTAATTCCTCTAGGACTGTGGGTTTCTCTTCTGGCTCTTTCGGTGTTTCAGTTTCCGTTTGTGACTTTGAATCTCTTAATTTAGAATCAGGTTTCGCGATCTTATGGTTCATCCCCCGTGTGTCTTCAAGGTTACCTTTAGGTTCCGAAGTTTTGATGGCTTTCGATTTTGTCTCCGACTCTGTAACAGGCCTTGTCGAAGACTTGGAACCTGTTTTTGGGGTATTGATCCGCTTTGATGGCGATCTGATGGGAATTCTGGATTGAGTAGTAAATTTACTAGGGGGAGGATGAGGTTTACGAACTGGTGGCCATTCGTTTCCACTCATCTTCTCACAATATTCATAATGTTGTGCTAACTCCGGATCCAACTGCCTTGTCAACTCAATAAGGCTTTGAGTTAGTTGCTGTTGAGATTTTGGGAGTTTATTGCTTTTCTTTGTTTCATTTCGCATTTCGCACAACGACGGCAAAGTTGATGAATTGAGGTAGAGCTGGTTTTTTTGCGTTCCAGAGTGTTATACAAGTTAGGCTTATATATATCTGCTTGGATATTTTTTTATCTCATGATTTATCGTGAGCACTTTTCACATCTCATTCTTTTTTTCTCTTGTGCCATTTTCCTCGTGTCAATATGGGTCTTATGAGACTTGAGATGGATAACATTTGCGAAAAAGTGCACCACGTCTCTTTCTCTCTCAACTCAAATAAAATGTTTCCGTTTTTGTTTAATCTAATTAAGTCTTTATAACTGCACATGGGAAAATGTCAAAAATAGGATCTTAGTAGACAAAGTTGTGAATGCTGAGCGGTCATTCAATTGGTAGGGAAGAATTTTTTCAACTCTACCTCGTTTGATGAAAAAAAGAGCACAAATCAATCAATTCCACTTAAAGTACCTTAATTTGGCCTCTTGATTAATCCTCACTTTTCACTCATTTTTTTAAATAACTCACATGTGCCCCATTGTCAATAATATTATTAACGAGGGGTGTGTGATAGACTTACCTCCACGTGGTGCTTCCTAGGCGAAGTATAATTATAAGGCAAAAAGGTCTATAAACCGTCAGTTGACTTCAAACTACCATGAGCATACTGTATGTTATATTCGACCAAGTCCGCAGTTCTCACCTTTCCTTTTTCTCTACCTTTGTGTCGGTCCCTTCTACATCTGTGATTCGCTCTTCTGCCCCCCCCCTCCCCTCCCCTTCGACTTTTAGGGACTTTGATGTCCCTCCTCACTGTGAAGTCCGAAGTCCACTAAAGAGCTAATGATAACTATCATAAAGCTTGTCATTTGATAAAAATTGTTAACGCGTGTACAAAAGTATGGAGACACCTATCTCAATTATTTAACCCTCAAACAATTAGAGTTTTTTTCAACACAACTTGAGAGCTGAATCACCATGCACTTTATATTTATTTATCAACAGAACTTCTCTGTTGACCTGTTTTACTTTTGAGAAAAACAGGTTTCAGCTCTTTCAATTTAGGTAAAGGTAACATCGTTAGGTCAAACCTGCCCTTTTCTTACACTTTACTTGCTCTCCAGCTTACATTTTACAAGCAATTTATCTCAAATAAGGTTAATTCAGAGTAGTAGTTTATTGAAGCCTATCTAATTTATGCATTCAACAATAGGAACACGCTATTTTTTATTAAAACAAACAGGCATATGATACTTTTTTGCACAATAGGATCTGAAAATGGTACACTTTTGTTAGATCACAGTCGCTGCTACGATATGGATTTGATTTGGCGATATGCGAAACAAAAAAATTGAAACGACCACTTAAAAATACATCTGAATCCCCTGAAGTAGAAATAATGGACACGTTTTTGGTGCATAGCAAGTGACGATTGTGGGAATGTGAATTCTAGAATAAGATTCGTCCGATTAATTTGACTTGCTGCCAAAACTCAAATCTCCTAAACTAACCTATTTTAGGTGCTTATCTTCCTCCACATTCGAACTAATTCGAACATCTCGCGGAAATGTACACACTAACAAAAATGTGCATACGATAAAAATTTTTCTACCATAAATATTAACCATCACCCGGACAATAAACTCGCAGACACTAATTGTGCGAAATTCGTAGAGATAAAGCGGCAACAATTGTAGGTTATAAGCTTTGAACCCTGTCAACCTCTTCTATCTTCATTAAGTACGGAAAACTCTGTACTACCTCCTGCCGAAATTACTCCTTTAAGAAATTCAATCAACTCTTTCAATCTAAGTGGTCTTCAGCTTTGCTCTAGAGCTAATTAAACATTCACCTGTCTATTTGCCCTGCATTTGGAGTCTTGAGATGCCAATCATTTCTATAGTTAGTCTTTTAAAGGTCTCATCAACTACTCTTCACTACAACGGGGTGTGCGATAGACTTACCTCCACGTGGTGCACCCTGGGTAACGTATACTCATACGGCAAAAAAGTCTATCAATGGGCAGTTGACTTCTGACTTAAAACTGCCATGATCCCACTGTATGCCACATTCGACTACTTTCACAGTACTCACCTCACCTTTTTTCTACCTTCGTCTTTGAAGCACTCTTCTGTCTCCCCCCCCCCCTCTCGACTTTTTTCCACTTTGATGTTCCTTCCCCTCTGTGAAGCCTGAAGTCAACTAAAGGGCTAATGATAACCATCAAGACGCCTGGCATTTGATATAAATAAAACTCTTCACTACTACTACTACTACCCATGACGTATAAATTAGCATAAAACAACTATGTAGATGAGTGTTATCCTATTACCTTGGACAAAAGAGGAAAAAGTCGTTAATTTTTGTTTGCCAAATGGAGGTCAAAAGACATAAACGCCTCCATTGCCTAATCATTAAAACTCGGTTAATTCTGATGAGTGAGGTGTATGGGTCATCACTCCTGAAATATTGCGCCTGCTGCACTTGCATTTATGGCTAAGTACCACCCGAATAGTCACTTATCATCTCAAAGAAACCAGTCTTTGAGAGCAATGAAGTAACCAAACTGCAACTAGAGTTATTATTGAAATATTGATTTTTAAACTAAAATCACCCCCATTTGCACTTTTCTCATCCTTGATAATATATTAGAAAAATAACATGAAAATATGGGGGAAAAGTGGTCAGAATAGTAGACCTTAGGATCGCGTTCTGGTTAGTGCATTATTTTCATATGAAATATTTTCCTACTTTTACAGAGTATTGGTCTAAAAGTTTGGCTCCAAATAACTTTGAAGTGAAGGTGTCGCCCGTTGTTCTCTAACCCATTACTATTAGAAATGGATTGTCATTATCCTTCGCAATAATTCGTTTATCCAATAATCCCAACTTTTGAATTTAAATTTGTTGAGGACTTTTGTCAAATTGCGCACTTGAATGGTTGTATTTGAGAATGTCATTAAAATGATGCGATATTGTGTGAGACGACTTACATGGTCTGATGGAAAGTCATTTTCTTATCTCGTGAAGCAATGTGTCATCGGATGCACCAAGCATTCACTCTATACCTTCCAACTTCAAGGTCGTATTTTGTTCTACTTTTTGGACCTCAAGTCTCATCACCGGTTAGCATGGAGCGGGTTGTCCATTAGTGAGTCAGAATGTGGGGTGAGGTGTTGAAGAACCATAGACTCTTTTTCACGAAATACTGAAACTATTTCGAGGGGCAACAAAAACTTTACTGGAGAGAGAGAGGAATCGCTAAATTACTATCCTTTCAAACTTTACGTTTCTGTTTACACCGAGAGAGGGAGGGGATAGCAACAATGACTCGATGCTTAATTGAAGTAGAAAAGAGAGGACACTTTACAGAGAGGAAAGGTGTATTGAAAATAAATTGACGAATGTGCCATAAGCAGATCAAATACGTGTCCAAAATTCTGCAAGCATTTAATGGTGGTAAGCAGCAAAAGTGTTTATTTTTCTTAGTAACTTCGAGGACTTAACAAAATCGCCACTGTGTGAATAGGCCTCAATCTGTACTATTCCAGCGAGATTTGAGAAAAAAATTGACTAATTCGAATATGGAAGTTGAGCTAGTAAAATATGAGAGGTGTAATCGTTCGTTCGCCAATTCAGAGGTCATTAGGTTAGTATTAACCGTACACAAGTGATGTGCATAGCTAACCACACTAGTTAATTCTGATCGGCATGGGAATAGAACTCATGTTTCTTGTCACCAGCATCTTGGCAGTTGAAAATATACTTTTGAAGTTTTCCAATCTTTGTACATTTTTCGAAACTTTAAACGATTGACTTTAAAAGTTGAATGGGTGATAGCCATACTTTATCAAACCGCATAAATGAATTAAGTAAACTATCATACAATTTTAACTACTAGTTATAGCAAAATGCAGCTAGATGATTATTAATGTCATGTTTATTAAATGCATATTTGGTTAATCAACCAATAGGATTTAGCTTGACCTAGGAGAGTAAAATTATGCAAACGTTTGAACAAAGCGATAGTTTTTTGATAGTAAAGTCAGAAAAATCTAAAGATCAGTTAGACTGGACAAGGTGTGTTCCGTATCCCAACAAATTGTCTTAATGATGAAAGAGGGATATGATTTAAATATATATATATATATATAACAAACACTGATTTCCAAATGCTTGTCTGGTAGTTTAAGAAGAACATACTTGTCAGCATAGTCGATTTTTAATCCATTTTATGTTAAATGGTAGTCCATGCCAACTTATCTTGCCTATCGACGCAATTAAATTTAGTAAGGTCAACTTAACAAATCCGCGTAATTCCCTTAAGAATACTCTTGTACAATGTGTAAGCTTATCATTAACTAACAAGACTGCTTTAAGAATTAATTTTGAAAACGCGACTAAAGTAGATCCCTTAGTAAGAAGTTCAAAGTGCATATGGAATAGGATGAAAGTGGATTTCTCCCACGAGCGGTAGCGCTTTATGGATCAAAGGGACGGGAAATACCTATCCCCTATCGATTTGAACAATTTAAAATAGGGAAAAGCCTTTCTAAAGTTTGTTTAATTTCATATTTTTGGAAATTAAAAAGTATCCACGAAGGATCAGAATTTGATAATGTGTTGATAATATCATAATAGAGGAATTTTTATTTGTTCCTGTTTCTACTCACTACATTTCAGTAGCAAAGCAAATTAAGGTTTCATCGGTGTGATAGCTACACATTTCTTTTAACTTGAGATTTGCACAGAACTAGGGACATTATGAAGACTCTCAACAATTCCCCATTTACCCGTTCAATAGAATATCCAGTAGTCTCTTACTATGCAAGCGGAGCATACTTCCCCTTCAGTTATGCTCCTAGAGTATGCACCATTGTTGTTAAAACCGCAGCGCAAATATGATCTACTTCAAATTGAGGAAAGAAACTGCAATTGAACAACTGCAAACCTGACAAAATGATGGAGAGGTGAATTTGGGACATGCAACCCTTTTCGAAATTCAATTTCCACTATTCGTGCCTGGGTATTCAGAGCAATACCTCATTTTCCCGATGACTAAAAGTAGGTCTGCAGCTTACAAACCTAATTCACCAAATCTCCCTAAGCAGAGAAATCGATTAAACTCAGTTACTTTAAGTAACTTCACAAAAAAGTGTCTAAATTCGTAATAAAATAACTAGTTCCATTGTCTTTTAACTTAGGTTCTAATCGAATCTTCTTATAACTGGTAACCACCTCTAGTTCTCTGCCTCATAAAAGTGATATTGAAGACCAACTTATTAACCGCTCGCCCAACCAGACGAATACTCAGACATGAAGAGTAAATAATAGAATACAAGAATTTTAAATATCGATTATCTTTAGATCCCGAATAACAAACTATACAGAAAAGCAAATACAAATTACCGATGTCTAAGAATAAAAAGCAAAGAAATTTACACCAGTTCTATCGTCTCTTCCTTTTGACAGGAACCATCGGTTCTCGCTCAATCTCTTCAATAGGAATTTTTGATACCATTTCAAATATTTCATCAGACATCAACTCCTCGGCCGTCAGTTTACAATCAGAATCCACCCAAATCTTTCTCAAAGCTAGCAAAACCGGTCCCAATTCCTTCCCTTTGATAGACCTCTCTGATGTGACTGCGATCCCGGATACAGGGAATCTGGGAGCCTCCCAAGAAAGCCAGTATTCAATCTCCTTCTTCTGACACAGGTAACGAATTGCTTCGGGGAAGACTGCTTTCAATACTCCTTGATTCGTTGAAAGGAGATATTCTCGACGAAGATACTCAATAATATCCTTCTTTCGTAGAACATCTCGCCATCTCACGAGGAATTCAACTACATTAAATTCAACAGTAGATAGCTTAACACGTTCATTGAAAGTTTGCAACTAAAAATGAGGAGACAGATAACGTTGAAAAAAACGAAATTAGGCAGACTTAATTAACGTCAAATTTCACTCAAAGATCATAAAATACGAATATTAACTTTAAGTTCAAAACCTATTGAAGAACAAAATGTTTTGAATTTGGGAAATACATGGTCGAAGCTCAAGCAATGTGCCACTAATAGAGCGAATCAACTGATCGGTCCTCCAAAGCATTAAGAAGATGCTGCTACAACATTGAGACACGAAATGATTGACCTAAATGTTGTCAAGTGTAACCAGCACAACTGTCAAAACAATTTTGAGACAAAATTAATAACAGCAAACGTTTAAGCCACCTTAAGCGGTGTATTCAATACAGGAATGCAATACTCGTGCTAAAGCATTTGAACAAACGAGAAACGCCAAAAATAATGCACAAAATTTCAAAGTATAAACATTATCTGAGACGTACTTCTTCCAAAGAGTGTAACACCGAGGCCACGCAGGTCGCGGCGATAGGATCTCTGCTAAGAATTCCACTCTGATAGAGCTTATCCATTTCAGCAAAGTTAGGCATACTCGGAAGTCCACAAGATGTGATAACACCGGTCTCAGACATATGTCGGACAAGAGACGGAGCAAAAGAATGGAGAAATATCATCTTCAATTCCGTCCAGATACGTTCGCCAGCTACCATCACCAAGCCTTTGCTGTTGTCCCTTATTGCCTGAAAATAAGGAGAAAAAACTTAGTTCCAACAGGCTGTTACTAGTTTTAACCAAAATCCAGTTATCTGACGCTACCTATTTCGTGGACTTTGAAGAATTTTGTGAAAACATTTAAAGAGGAAAAAATACGATTAAATCAGAAAATAAATACAGTTTCGGTAAAAAGAACCACTCAAACAAGTTTGGCAAGTAAGGGTAAAATTGAGGAATACGAATAAAATCTTTCAAAGGTCATAGGATAGGGGCAGAGGGAAATAAACCTCGCAAACACAGATTTTTCAGATGGGGGAGTTTAAATTAAGCCACTATAAAAAGAATACAGAACATGATTTTCATCAAAGCCATGTCAACATAAACTAATCTTAGCTCCCAAGGTCTGATATCCATTAAAATAAGTAAATAATAAATGATACAAATCTCGATTTAGAGGGACACACCCACTTTAAAGTCTGGACTCACAGTTGAGATAATCAAATACTTTGTGACAATAATTGTCAAGACCCCTCATTTAACGAACAAATGACCCTAGAAAACAAGCCAATATCATAATGTGAATTGCACACTTACTACCTCCCAAATTAAACATATTAATGTATAGTACAAACTTTCAATCTCACGACTTAATTTTGATAGTGTATGCTGTGCTAAAATAAAACGAAGACTCAAAGAGCAGCAAGCCATATAAGGAGTAATAATAAAGCATCTTATTAAAAACAAGAATACGAATAAAAGTAAATCTGGCAAGCATTCATGGCAGCAGATGAAGAATCAATTGATAAATACAAAAAATAAAAGCCGAAAATCTTATTCCAAACCCCAAATTATCTCAAAGCAAAAAGAGGAGTTGCAGGTTTTAAGACTTCTTACCTTAAGAGTTGTTTCATCGTGTTCATCGGGATTCCTGGCAAGTCGTGCAAAGAATCGAAAATAACGAAGAATTCTAAGATAATCTTCTTGGATACGAGCCGAGGGTTCACCAACAAAACGAATACGCCGATGAACAAGATCATCATAGCCATTGAAGTAATCGTAGAGTTTACCCAACACAGTAACTTCCGAGGCACTATTAGAGGGATCTTCCTTAAAAGAGACACCGATAAACATTGAATTAACAGTGAGATCGCGTCGACTTGCATCTAACTGCCAGTCCGTTGTGAAAGAAACCTCAGCATGACGGCCATCTGTTTTAGTATCAATTCTAAGAGTTGTGATTTCGTAATTGGTTTTATCATTAAGGCGAACCGTGACAGTTCCATGAGCCTCTCCATTGCGATTCAGCATTCTGATTTCTTCTTTAGTAAACATTGCGACCATTTGAGATGGAGTTGCCGTTGTGGCCATATCAACATCCTTAGGTTCTTTCTTCATAAGTATATCTCGAACTGCTCCACCGGCGACTCGAATATCGTAACCATATTTGAGAAAGAGCTTATTAATGAAAATGAACTCTGGTTCACGGAAAGCATCAACGTGGGAGACATCAATGGACATGTCATGGCCAAGAGAAGTAAGGTCGAATAAAGCCGTCGACATGAATTTTAAAAATAATGGACTTAAATTAGAAATCCTATTTACTGAAAAAAGGGTTTTAGACTGAAAAGCACAAAATCGGCCAAATTTTGCAAAACAAGCCAACATACAATAGCGTGACTAAAGAGCAGGCGTACTACAATCTAAATTGGCCTTGAATGTCAAATGACACAAGTCAAATTAAATGAAAGCAACACCAATAAAAATAAGATTAATTCTATAAATTAAAAGGCAATATCGCTGCATATCTACCAAAGCAGAATCTATAATAATTGTCTTGTACATACGACTTGATAGCATATTCATATAAATTATAAAAATCGACTGATTAATATAATTGCCTGAAATGCATGAAGTCAAAATTGACATATTTAAGTAAATGTTAAAGTAGATAAATTAAGTGATAATACCCTTTAGCTGATTTCGGACTTCGCAGGGGAAGAAACATCAAATTGAGAAAAATTCAAAAGACGGACAGAAGAGAGATTCATAGATATAAGGAAGACAGACAGGCACAAAGGCAGAGAAAATATAAGGTAAATACTGTAGAGGTGGTCAACTATAACATACAGCTGGGTCATGCGTATTAGAAGTCAGAAGTCAACTGCCAGTTTATAGACTTTTTGTCGTATGAGCATACATTGCCCAGAATGCACTACGTAGAGGTAAGTCTACCGTACACCCCAGTTTGCAACAAATATCATGAAACTCCGCCTGCATCATTTGGTGCATAGTCTTTTATGCTTTTGCGGAATTTACTTTGAATTCTGTTCATAAAATGCTTCAAAAATGACTAACGAGGAGATACAATCCACTAATATGTACATGAAGTGCATTATAAGTGTTTCAACATGACCGCATATTTCCACATCATGACAACTTATATCGGAAGGTTAATCCGATTTACCAATATTCTTCAATTAGTATGTTATCTGACGAGCTTTTTTTGTCAAATGAATGACGGAAGATCAGAAATTAACCAAAATGTCTCCATCCAAACACAAGATTTTTAAACCCTATTTCGGGTGAAATAGATCTTTATTTACATTAAATATGTACTCTTCGCATTATATTAGTTTAATTTTCTTTGGATGACACCAACCCCAAATCCTCTTGCATTTCAGCAAAAGAGCTCCTGTCAATTCTTTAAAACCAAAACAAAAGTAAATCACACTGGTAATTAAATTTATAAACTCGTGTTAAAACTTGTTGCTCTGGCTATGAAGGCACTATTATATTTAAAAGTAATTATACAATTCTACTAAATAACAAATCTCTTCCAATCTTGAATCCCAAAAGTAAACTCAACTTCAAATTAAATTTTATGAAATCACAGTGATTGTATATTCTGCAATTTTCGTCGGTACTTTGCTGCAGACTAATTCGATTAGCTAATCATTTCTTTAAAATTGAGTGATGGTATATTTGAATAATTTACAAAATACTATACAATACGATCTGATTTACAGCCTATATTCTGACTTAATAATTTATCTAGTCAGAATAATTTTTATATAATGAATAATTTTAAACCCTGGGACTTTCATATTTATAACAAGTAACCTGCTGTTTTTTTTCGTTAGAATACTGTCATGAATGGCCATCGGGGTCTCCGTACGACTGTCAGCATTGGAACATACATCTTAGCACTAATATAAGATCGAGAGAACATGCAGGTATCGCAGTTGGGAGTTCAATGTTTCCTGAAATAGAAATTCTTCTTTTACTATAAGTACATTTACAAGAATATTATAACGTAAAAATTGCATTTTACATGTGTAAACTGTCGAAAATTTAATATATTTTAAAAGAAACCTTTAGCAAAATAATAAAATGTTTACTTATTATTTCGTAAATTGGTATATTTCAACTATATTGTTGTCGTTTAAGTTATTCACAGACCTCACTTATTTTTCAAGTAATTTGTTACAGTATTAATTTGACCAATTGGGTAAATGTCGCTGCGCTAGTGCAATTTTTGGATCCTTAAATCCGGATGATTAGTTTGTTAATATATTATTGTTTCGTAGCTTTTATTCCCAGTAATACTGTTATTTACCACTATTTCGGTTCGTAATTTTTTGTTAAATATAATTTTTCGTGTTTATTTGATATTCTTTCATTTTTAAGAAGTAGATATTTGCTTTTCTTGATTAGCATTACTGCTATATTTTTAGCGGTTTGAGTTAATTTTATATATTTAGTGAATTTTATATTTTTTCGGCCTAATAAATGCTAATATATTAATATATCTTTTCTCTAGAAATGCACTAATAGAATATGGCTTCTGAAGATACATCTGTGTGGAATAGTTTCATTCAATCTCTCGATGTTGATCCAGACAAAGCTAAAAACATCGAGCAATTGCCAGAAAGTCAAAAGCGGCAGCTTATCGAGTCCTATGTAATTTTATCTCTTTTATTATTTCCACTCTCTATTTAGACAATCAAAACATCCAAACACTCAGCTTTTCACTATGTAACCTTAATCAAAGGCCTTCGTAATTGTCGGGGCTCACTTAGCAAAGTAAGAATTCATTCGTTGAGGTTTAAATTTTCCCATTGTAGTCTCGAAAAGGCAATCTACAAACTGCACGAGAGGTCCTTAATGCTACTGAAATCTCTCTTCGCACTAATAATGTTTCGTATGTCTTTCTATGCTCTTATTTACTCAAATTCTAGATGGGTTTATGAGTTTCTCGACAAAGGAGGTCTTCAAGTTCTTCAAGAGTATATGTCGAAGACAGTCCAGAATATGCTCAGGTATTTTTTGCTTACTATATCCATTGTTTTCCCCATTAAATTTACTTACCTTTGATCCTTCTGTCTTGCCCGCTTTGTTCATTCTCATTTTACCCTTCGCATTAAAAAGTTACCTTCAAAAATTCACCGGAAGCTCATCGTCCCCTGTTCTGTAAGTGCGTCTCCTATGCATGTATTTCAGCCCATCTAATTCTTGCAAGTAATTTGAGTTTCTAAGCTGTAAACTTGTTTTACGCATTCTCCCCAGATTCGGCTTTTTAAGGAAACCGATGTATTCTTTTCGTCTAATTGGTCTACCCCTTTTCTCTTTTAGTAGCTCCGCTCTGCCACCAAGTATTTGTCGACGGAGACACTGCCTTCATAGTACTCCAAATGTAAATGATGATCAGCTCTCTTTGGAATGCTCGATGGAATACGCAGACAGGGCTAGCACTGGATCTCGTAGTCTCTTTTGTCATCGGGGTGGAACTAGTACTTCTAACAAGAAATCTAACTCTAGAAGTGCGAGTGTTAACAAGCGTCGGCATTCCTCGAATAAGGATAATGCATTAGCTACAGCAAATTACGAAAGCATACACCTTGGTGTTAAATGTTATCGGGCTCTACTTAACAATCAGGTGGGATTTTTACTTAAAGCCCATTGTCTCGATGATATTTAAAAAAATGGGTTTGGTTTTGAATGGATTCTTTTTTTTTTATTTCACTTTCAGCGTGGATGTACTATGATCTTCGATCAACCTGAGAGTATAAATACTATTGCGCTGTGCCTGTTACATCCTAGTTTTCAGTAGGTGTATTTATTGCTTATTTTTATTGTCCATGGCTCATTGTAAACGCATTCGTGTTTTTTTAATGTACAGTTTTAATATTCTTTTTAGTACTGTCGTTCAGATAGTTGAACAACCCACACTTGTTCTCCTCTTTGAACATCGTTGAGATTATATTATTTTTGTTAGGGTGTATTTATATTAAAGGAACAACGGGCATACATTGTAACTTTTCATTCAGGTTTTTTTCTAAACAAACTTCTAACTTCAAGAATCGTAGCTCGTGGAAAATCTTTAATTTTCTACCTGGAATCCCTTAAATCTCATTCTTCTCCATCTATCTAATTCTGTGTATTTCTATTAGGGAACTTTGGTTGTTTATGTTGCATCGCCATGACCTATCGTATTGCATGCTTCTTAAATATCATATCTATTTTTGCAAGTTCTATATTTTCGAACGGGCAAATTCAACGTTTTCAGAGTCATTGATTAAAAGATATTTTTCTCATATAGGAAAATAGAGATTCGTTACCGGACGCTACCTTTATGGAACACGTCTAAATTATAATTGGTTCCGAGTGATCAGGGTATCTCGTAATTCTTATGACCTCGTTTCTCTTCACTTTTCTGCTTCTACTTTCATGGCATAATCTGGCAAAAAATAAGAATTCATTTAAAATATCTTGTCACTTGTTAAATGATGTAATAAGATTAGCCACAGTTTATATACCAAACACTTAAAATCTGCGTACATTCGCATTTAACGGAACGTTGTCACTCATGTCTTCATATGGAGGTTAGTTGTTAAAGAGAGTACTTATCGTAATTTGAATAATCAATAGTACATAGAGTTGGTGACTGTGACTATATATGGGCCTGCTTTTCCAGCTATCAGGTATTAGCCATTCGTTTTTGGGCAGGGCCCTACTACTACTAGTGCTACTTGCTCATATTCCAGAAATCTACCACATCAGATCGGAGGAGGCGTTTTTATTTTGCCCTCCTTCCTCTCCTCTGTCCACTTTTCTGGCACAGCATTTGGACCCGCAGTGTGCACACCACCGGTTACAGGTGATTGCACAAACACATGTTAACCCTCTTTATTTGCATGATTCATCGCTCGGCCTTTTTGTCTTTCTCGCAGCCGTTGGCTCAAATGCTGCGTGAAATGGTCTATGTATGGTTGACACATCCAATTTGACAGCTGTGTGTAGACGGTTGACTCATTATTGACTGCTGTGAGAGAAGCCTGACCTTTCATGTTGCCTATGCAGCATACAACTTGTTGCCATAGGCGTCATGTGGATTCAGGGCACTTTGTTGATACATAACCAATTATCGACATGGCCTCTTTTATGGACTAAGGGAAAGGAAGCAGTGTTACTTGATTACCCACCTTACTTAATAATACTTGAGTCTGCGGAATTGGCCTTTAGCCAACTCTTTATTCGAGAGTTTATTCGTCTGTTTATTTATAAACCCGGGGGCAGTGTTAATATTCATGCAAACGACTGCCTAGTTTAAGGTATTAATTTTGGGCATTTAGTAAAGGTAGTCGTTAACTTATTAAGTGTGCGTTTGCAAATGTTTAAGCAAAAAGAGGGAACAAGTAGCCGATTTTCGAAATAAAAAAGAATTCAATTTTTTATTCTGTTTAAATAATGGGAAAAATTTGTAGTTTGTGTCTACGATATGAATCTATTTTGTTGATGAACTCAGCTATTGTTTTATATTGACACCTGAAGAACGCTTTAATAAAATCATATATATATATATATATATATATATATATATATATGTCTTATTAATCTACTTATAGGTGTAGCGAATTTCTGCGTAAGTGAATGTCTCCTTTCGTGTGCAATTAAATGGCTTATGAGGTTGCCTAGACCGATTTGACGAATTTCGGTCTCCCCCTCATTCTTTCATGGGGAAGTGATTATGCGTTGCTTACTTTTCTCGTTAACGGACTGAGTCATTTAGAGCGGGTAGGCTTGATTACATTGGATCATCATACCTTAGGATGTATAAATGTGATTATTTCTGGACTTTGTACATGCACCTGCATTGCATTGTCGTTCAAGCTTACCTTTTAGTGATTTTGGGGGGAAAAACATTTCAATATTCAACGAGCCAGATTGGCTTATGGCGGTATATTGACTTGGTGGTGCCAGGACTGCTCATATGTTTCCTCATCATTACTCTCAGCTGATTTTTGACGGCGTATTTCTCCCTATTTCCAATTCAATTCCATCACGCGCACGTCCCGCGTTTTCTCCTCTTATAACACTTTGCAAAACCTATTTGCAAACCTCCAGTTATTGGACTATTAACATGGCGTGGAGGAGATTTTAATAATTAATTATTCACAGATGGTGTTCTTAAATTAGAGCTAATTACCAATTACCTGGCTTCTTTTAATGAATTTACTTATTTTAGTCTCGATTTATTGCCTTTAAAAAGCCGTCTTTGGCTATATGGTTTTGAGACGGAATTGTTGCCCTAAGTTAGCTAAAATGCTAATTTTTTAATGTGTTAATATTGTGCGTGCTTTTTTTCAAATTTCCTTCCGTTTTAGAACCAAGACACTCGTGCTGGAGTTGCTGGCAGCGGTTTGTCTAATTGTTGGTGGCCATGAACGAGTGATTGCTGCATTTGACGAAATTTGTCGTGAATTGGGCGAGAGTCGGCGATTCGAGACCCTTGTGTTCTTCTTCCGCAGTCACGAACGTCTTCCATCTGACGATTATTCCATTGACTTTATGGTATCTATTTCAATAATCAAACTTTTCTATCCTATTTGTCGTTTATTAGTGGCTTTGACATTCAATGCACTGCTCCTAATTGGTTCCCATCAGTTCAAATTCTTATGTCAACTAGATTTTTTGCAATATTACGAAATATCGTTGTTGTAAGGGCTATATTTCATAGGCCATTGACATCTGTCAGTTTTTGCTTGTTTAAACCAACTGTTATATATTGTTTGTCTGATTTAAATTTAGAAGGGAGAATGAAAATTGGCCAACTAATAAAGCTGGTAAGAAGGCAGAGGGGAGTCGTTCCCTTCTACATAACTTCGAAATTCCTCCTCAAATAAGTAGAAAGTAAAATTCATTGTTAAGAAACAGAAATTTAGAGCGTGTTATCAAAACTGCCTAAGTGGGCTTTAATAGGCTAAGCTTTTGCAATGAGTAATTGCTCACATAAATCAACTAGTGCACAACTAATGAATTCTTTAATTGATAATCATGGGAAAACTGTCCCGCTAAATGACCTACTCAATATAGTTCTAATCATTTCTACTTATTATCCAATTTCAGTAGCCTGGACTATCTTTTTAATTTAGGAATTTTGGTATCTACTTTCGTCCCAGCTATTTCTCATTCTATACCTTAGATCTTTAGTCAATCCTCACTACGCCAATGCGAAAGGAAGTAGAGAGGACTAGATAGTGACAATCCGTTTATTGGAGAATGATCAATAAGTACGAATGGAGGAGAGTATAGGAACTGATTTAATTAGAATTCAATTGTATGCTCAAAATTGTATGTGCATACCAGCTGGATGATCACAACGAATACAGTGGAAGGGAATCCTGGGTCTCCCGGTAAGTGTGACAGTAGGGAAGCCGTGACTACATGTGGTGGTGGTGGTGGTGGGGGGGGG